TGGCTGAGAGCGAGAAGAGCTAGCGAGCGGGGCTCCCGGCAAGATAAGCCGTCCAAGACCACTGCAAAGGCGCAAAATGCCACCGCGAGAGGTATCAGTGAGGCTGCTGCCCAGTCCGCAGCCGAGTTACCCTGCTGGGACATTGGGCTCGAGGGGATGGTGAATAGCATATTCGACGATGCCGACACGAATGATGACGGGCTCGTTGACATCAGCGAGTCCTACATCCTCATTCTGAGGCTCTACATCAAAGTGAATCAAAAGGCGCCGATCAAGCCGCCATCTCGCGAGACGGCAGACATGCTGTTTAATACGGCAGACACGGACGTGTCTGGCATGATCAACAAGCAGGAGTTCCTGCAGCTTTCACTAGACCTCTTTGCGAGCGCCGGGATCCGGGTGCTCTGCCATAGCTTGAGAATCGTCTTCTCGCCGTTACCCTACACACACCGCACAGCCGTGAACCCGACCCAGCGTCCTCTGCCCGGAGGTCCTCGCTTATAAGCTCGTCAGCTTCCTGTTGGCGCCCCTCCTCGCGACTTACCTCTCCGGCTGGCTTGTCACCCATCCCAACAACCTGACGGAGAGCGCCGTGGCTGCCGCGAGGGCTGTTGTGCCCGACTCGCTTGAACCGTCCGTTTTCACGCAGGTGTGCGACATCTCGCGCCCACCCCCTCGCTTCGTGACTTCCCATCCAATCTCGCCTCCCTAATAAAGACCCCACCGACCCCAATCTCTGGTCCTCACCTCATCTGCCGCCGTCACCGCAGGGCACCTTGACGACCATACTGATCGTCGTCTTTGTGTCGACGCTCGGGCATGTCTTCATGGACCTTGTCGACACGCTGCTCCTGCGCGTTGGGAAGGCGGAGAATGAGGAGGCCGCAAAAGAGGCGAAGCGCAAGGACTCGCTGCTGTAGCACGTATCTTAGCGCATGTGCAGAGCGCTGCTAGAGTAGAGTATGTGGAGGCATGTGTCGAGAGCTGAGGGAGGGCGGCATGTCCGGTATACGGCTTTACATGGGGGACTTATTTGTATCGTCTCGCGTGCAAGTCGGTACCGTCATCGCGCGGTACTTGTACGCGTTAGGGCCGGTGCCTAACGTTAAGATAGCTGAACAGAGAGTGTTGCTAGTGTTAACAGTAACAACAGAACAATCAGTGGGGTTCCCCAACAACAGTAGCTAACGTTCGGCCCACTGAACAACAGTAAGGATGGCCTGGCAGTGACCCGCGACGATCTCTCGTGTCCAGTGCGGGTAATACCCGAATACC